CTATGAGGGAGAGCGAGACTTTTGATTTGCCTTCTAGTCAACAGGCTTTTAACCCTTTGCGGCCAGGTTTATGTTTTTATATTATAGATACATTGAATTAGTACTAGTAAATATAAAATGACACTTCAAGATGATACAGCATGTTACCGCCAGCCGGTTATCATAGGTACCCTGACCTGCTGATACTTGCCTAATGCCAGGAGATTCGATCGGTAACTTAACCCCCTATTTCTGTATTTGACAAATCAGACTGCATCCGAGCCGATTAAGGTATCCTTACCGGGTAAAACTAAGTCGGCCCTGCTATTTACACTCCCCATGATATCCCAGCTCTGGATACTCATTGAAACATACTATATGTGATTGATTGCTATAGTGAACAATACCTTTTTTCCAGGATACTAACGAGTACTTAAAATACACCACTATACCTATAGCAAAAATAAAATAAAGTTGAATTATGATAACATTGTTAGCTACAAACGATTCAGAGTTATAACTTTATTTGATGGACCAGCTGATCTATTTTTTTTTTGCTATCATTTCATTGTTGATAAAAAGCCTAAATCATATGCGACTAGTAGCTATCGTATTAGCATCAGAATAATCAAGAGCTAATGTATTGCTATAAATTTGTGGTCATCCCAGATGAGCAGGTCGCAAAAGTTTAATTCCTGTACTTATGCTTTTAACCTAAATTTCTCAACATTGCAAATAAATCATAGTCCGTCGTATTATCAACAAGTGAAGTTGTGGCTACTGGCTTAAGGAAACATTCTAAGGGCTCTCTAAGTTGGAGAGAATTGTATCTGTATAGGTCATGACAAACTTCTAGTGTACATTTAACTGGTGTTTCCAGGCGATGTTCAGAGAAGCCGCGTTCTCGGTCTTATGGCTTCTTAACGACCATCGATAACAAATTTAACAGTTAAGTTTGTCAAGAAATATACCAATAATTTCAAGATATCTCAGTCGTCTGGTATGTAGTTATCATGGCAACAAAGGTAGTTTGCACAAGTGGTTTCACGTACTGAATCCTATTTTCTGTGGATGTGCTCTGAAGAAACAGTAGCCAGTCACAAATCTAACTACTATTCATAGTTGATTTCTACTCAGTCTACTGCTCTCTACCACCTTTTTTCATGCTGATTTGATACAAAAAAGGGATATTGATATAAGTATAAGAAAATTGGATGTTGCTCTTATAAAAGGGGCTACAGTGGATGAGACTACCTACTAACACTCTTCAGTACATTCTAAAAGAAAAACCTTTTAGAGTAGGTGAAAGCATTCCATTTGTGGGAGAAATTTTCGTGTTAGATTTTTTCATAATCACATTTGATACCCCTTAACATGAATTAAACGGTTGCCGGGAGGTAATCCAGCGAAAAGCTTAAACAATGTTTCAAAAGGAAATAATTTATTTTTTGGTCATTTTTAACAAGAAATGGTCCTTAGTAGTTTTCATTTAAAAGTAATTTTTGAGTAATAAATCATTGAAAAATCTTCACTGTGGAGAAAAGTTACTATGAACTTTTTCGTTTAGAATGATCCAGAACACCGTAAAACACTTTGCTATGAGCGAAAAAACATTTTTTTGTAACTGACGAGACATGTTCATGCCTGATGAAGATTGACTCCTTGGTTATTAATGGAATAGAAGAATGTTATCCGAAGGGGGCCTCTTGAGACAGTATGTCTGCTGTCTGTAAAACATCGCTATCATTGTGCAGGCCTCAGGTAACTTGTCACTCAGCAAGACCACTACTGAAAGGCAGCCGTCGCATGTCGTCGGTACAGTACTCAGACAAGCAAATTAACCCTCTTTGAAAAGCAGCTAGCTTCTGCCAATCGACAGCCGAGTTATTGTTATGCATAATGACCAGCAATTTGAATGAATATGATATTACTTCAGGAAATGGTGAAGAATTACGCATATACATGATCATACGAGTTGGGATCCTTGTTTTTATTATACGCATTCATTCAGATGTCGGACGGTTGACAAAGACTATTTATTTCATGATGCTTTTATTCAATCTTTTTTGTTTACTTGTACTTTGATCGTTTATTACATTTCACATCACGGCATTTCAAGATCCAGAGTGCATTTTATGGTGAAAGCAAGTTATACCAAGGGGAATACATTGGAGAGAGAGAGATAGGAGATGTAACCCAAAACATAGCATCCACAAAACGCGTCAGCTAAACAGAAGTTATTCTCAAAACCTGAAAGTTATCCCATAACTATTTAGCTTCATATTGTTTATTTGTCCAATCGTCGGTGTATTTGACAGGGTTGCCAGTTATCTAGACAGCGGTATGTTTAATTATCCCATATGCCTTTGACCTAACCATCAAAAACTGCGAAAAAAACTCAACTCTATTCAGCTCAGTATAAAAGTAGTGTTTTCTAAACATATTATGTCAGTTCGGCAACACCGCCTCGGTATTGCATAGTATTCTATGAGCGAATTCTGAAATGAGATTTTTTAAAAGAAGTACATTGGTCTTAAATAGAACCCTAACCATCATAATTTATCTGCAGATAAATACTTTTGTGTTGTGTTAATAGTATTTATAAACAACCCGGAAAAACTATTATCAGATAAGCGGTGAATGAACGACCATCTAAACGTAATTAGGCGTTCCCCGGGTTTTATACTGTTTACGTATTTTGTTACAGATAACAATTGACATCTACGGAATGGGTACACGCTATCGGTGAAAAACGTGTTTGTTTTTGACAAATGAAATAGATGAACCTAAATATGGTTATTGTTAAGATAGGATAATGTCTTTCACCGAATGAATTAGGAAAAGGGTAAATAAAATCATAATGAAGTTAAGAGAGTTATCTCCCGCACTCTAATCACGTTTGTTCTGAGTGCAGTTTATTCATAAAATCAAACGTCGATAACAAAGGAACACGTCAAACTATCGGAATTTTTCATGGCAGACTCATGCAAATATTATAGGAAGTATTTCAGAAACAAAGCTCAAACTCACATCAACAGATATCAGTAGAATACCTACGTTATATGAAAATTTCATACATATAAACTGTGACTAAACACAAACACCCTGAGTAGTATTTTCTGGAAAATGTGTTAACATGTATTTTAACAGACCTGTTTTGAGGCTATTTCTATTTGTTGTACTCTGAAGTTTATTCACATTGATATTCATTTGTACTCCTTCACATTTGCAAGCAGACGGTAAAAATGTAAATAAAGTGTCATTCACTTGAATTTTATCGTTATCTTTTACGTGATATTTAGAATTTAGGTTTTTAACCCAGGTTTTTTGCCATATGCATTGTGCATTGTGAAATGCATATTCATACAAAAATGGAAACAAAAAAGTATATGTAAATTAACCTTGTTGTTGAAAGTCTTTGTCAAGCGATGTATTTTAATCTTTTTGGTTTTGGTGTACAGAGTGGTTGCTTAGTAACACCTTTCATATTCGAAAATATTTGTGGAATATACGGATAGTTTGTGGTTATAAGTTTAGGACTAGCTAAGACATGTTGTCAAGAAAGATACTATCCTGTCAGATTGCTCGAAATTATCGATACCCTCGTTTTTATTTATTCTCTCTTAACTTTTTATCGTTTTTCAGCAAAATCAACACAGCTCTGAACTTACCTCATAAATTTTTGTTACGTCTGTGACGACTAGGTGCATCTATAATTGACTTAAATATACCTCCTGAAAGAGGATTTCACGTTGTAAGTAGTTTCTTAATTGATACTGTAATGGTTTTAATTGACATTCAATATTCTTTGTAGTATGTCCTGATGAAGAAAATACACATTTTCGACATCGTGACTTAAACAAAGAATCACGTTCTTTCTGGCCTAACTCCGTTTTGGCCAAAGCTGCCTCCATAACGCCCTAGTTATACAAATAACTATTAGTTTGGGTTATTCTAAATTGGTTTGGATGGAGTTCTCATTCTTACAGAACTATTTCAACTATATGTCTCTATACTTAACAATCGACGAGTACAGTATGATCGTGCGGAAGCATTTTCAAACACTCTCAAAATGTAAAAAAACGTTTTAATAACGAAGTAGCATCCTGCAAATGCATTTACTCCGTTCGACGTCCATTCAATTGAGAATCGGCCATGCGGTTTGTTTTGCGAACAGTTACTTGATGAACAATTATTATTTTCATATATACAGCCAGCTCGCCATATGACGTTTCTTTTACCGGTTTTCGTTCATAGCGAAATCATATAAATCTAACAGAACAGTACTTTGTAATAGTAACAAGACGTGACCCCTATATAATCTGTTACAATGGGGTACTGTGCTACAATATTGGATAATACTTCTTTGACGTCTCAACATTCCTTATCTAGAAGACAAATGTTATCGTTCGGCTCGAAAGTACAAGTTTATCCTCAGTTTTCTTTATGGATATTCGAGTATGTCTGGATGTTCCATTGTGCCACCTCAACGCTCCTGCAACCGCCATGTATCCCTGGCTTTTTGTACGAAATAAACAAGCCTACCCAGCTGGAGATGGAACCATCAAGGAAAGCAAACATTTGCGACGTCCACATCATCTTGGAGAATCAGTCTGGTCGCCAAATGAAACCACAGAGGAGGCCGAAACAGTAGGAAGCTTTTACTTTGACGTCTGTGGATCCATTTGGCGGTCAAAACAACACGGAACTTGCTTAATCAGCAATACAACCACAGGTTATGTTTCAGATGTTACATTAACCTTAGCACAACATAACTCGTCATTCAATGTGTCTTTTTTTTTCTTTGAATCTGGTTTATAAACAAACAAGTCGGTTTACGTATACAGTGCATGATATCTGGATTAGATTCTTATGCACGTCCTATTTTCGTGCCTAATCGTTTGCTGCAGGTAGAGCCGAATTTGATAACGCAGTCTCTCTACTCCCAACCTTAAGTGCAGCTTGTATGAAATAACAATCCCACTTCTGAGTATACTAAAATCTTTTTTCTCTTGTTCCAGCGTACGGTAAAGTGTTCCTAGTCCGAAAACGCGGTGGTAGCGATAACGGTCGTTTATACGCGATGAAGGTGCTTAAAAAGGCTACGATAGTCCAAAAGAAGAAGACTACCGAGCACACCAAAACCGAACGGCAGGTGCTGGAAGCCGTCCGAGATAATCCGTTCCTTGTCACCCTCCACTACGCCTTCCAGACTGACGCCAAACTACATCTCATACTAGGTAAGTCCATATGCTTCATAATCTAGTTTTTAGTTACTTATCTCACGTGAAGACATACAACAGACCTCTAATAAACAAAAACAACATTATCCTTATAAAATGGCCTGATGGACACCACCTCTTAGTTTAGAGAAAAGATTTCAGCTCTTAAGCTGCGTTGTTACGGAGCGTGGTCCTCACATTCGTAAAAAATCCTCCGTGGGTAAACTTTTTCATGGTATACGGACGCTAGATGCACGATGTTTGTGACACGATGTCAGGGTAGTTCCTTTAGGCAGTACGTTTGGTTATACGAATACGATGGCGCTGTAGCTTGACGACGTAACCACCGCATCCGAGTCCTTATCCACAATATCTGGTGTGAATGGTTATGTAAAAATAGAGCCACAGAAAAAGTGACATCAAGCCGTTTGACGTGACAATGGACTATATTGTGATGGTAGATCCGTATCGACTACAGATTTTTACCACTCGCCAAGTCGATGTGACGCGACGGCCTTTACAGCGCGCTTAATGCTCGGCCAACGCGAGCGTCTTGACTCAATTTTGGTTCATATAATTTGCATACTGGAATACGATTTACCTGATAAACTAACGCTAAAAGCGCGACGTTTTTACTGGTTGTAGAACATGCTACCATTCTACGAGGCCCATTTTTTAAGTAAGAACCATATTGTAATGGAGTTAGAAAAACTTTATTTATGAACTTAAATTGTATCACAAACTAAAATATGAACATTTTTTATTTTTCAACATAATCACCACAAAGATTCAAACATATTTCAATTCCTGGCGTCTGGTTTTGGATCCCAATGTCAAAGAACGCTGGCGCCTTACTAACAACCGATTAGTAACTGTTTCTTTCAACATGAAGAAGAGAAGAAAATCTCTAAGTTTCGGAAAAAGATGGAAGTCTGTATGGTGGATAATTTCAACGAAACTGCCACAACGGGTGCCGAGCGTTGCCGTGAAGCAGAATTGCGCAATTGGTTCTTACGTTGAACATGGTCCTAGTAGTAGACGAAGAATTTGCTTCTGATTTAAATTACGTTTCCGTGACAAGTAATAAAAAGTTTAAAGTGGTTGCCCTAAGCATACAGTAATAGCAAAAACGGTGAATAAGTATATGTACCGTGCATACCTCAAGCGAAACCAGGTCACTTGAAGCAATGTATTTATATTGTCTACGTTCTTTATAATTTCATATCGTTTGCATGAAGATGATATTAAAGCCGATTTGGAAAGCGGGTAAAAGAACATTTCGCAAGTTGTTTCTTAACTCTTATTTTTATAAGCCAAATTGTATTTAGTTTATACTTGCAATAACCTATATCAAGCTCACATATTATACATCTAGAAAAACGTTATGAAAAAAACTGATACTTATTTTCTTAATTTCGTTGTCAATATCTCTATAAAGTTGACCATTTCGCTGAAGAGCAAAATGCACAAAAATATCGCATTTTTATCAGTAGGTTTTACTAGCAGCTTTTTAAAATCAGTCTTGATTATGTATCATTGATTATGTAAATGGAAAACCAAATTTATCTGGTGACTTGAGTTCAATGTGTACGAGAGAGACGCGCGAGAAGTGTGTATCAACGTATGTTAGAAAGAGATAGAAACCGGCTGAAGAGTGAAGGTCATCACTACATTGCCTAGCAACGGTGACGCAAAAGGTCGTGCAATCTGCCGTGTTGTCAATATGTTACATCAGAAAATGTTTGCACAAGCTGTTCGAATATTTAATTTAATATTTAGATTAGATTTTTTTTATTTCAATTTTGATGCGACTTAGTTCATTTATTTGTGAATTATCCTCTATTTACACCGATGGTGATAAAACCTACACATCCTGAGTTATTGTTCTAATCTAACAAATGCACAATACAAATTACCCCTGCCTGTGTGTACGCACGTGAAAACCATTTCAGAGCAGGACGACACTCCCCAATGGGTACTGAACCAAAATCGCTCATCTGTGATCATGGAGGTGGAAACCTTGCCTTGGAATGTACGAGGTGCGGTGTTGCCTAGCGACCCAATGTTGCAATGATGCAAAATGGAGCGCCGTTAGGACTGATCCGGAATCGATCCTAAACAGATATTATTTGGGAATAAAGTAACGCATATCTTTAACATACATCTTAATTCAAGGAACTGGTGTAACATATTGACAACGCATCAGCGTTGCTAGGCAACCGGCTTCTATCTCTTTCTAACATATGTGTCTGTACACACTTCTCTCTCATACACATTGAACTTAACCAACCTTCTTTGTCAAAAGCATAAGGTTCAAAAACTGCACGTCGTGAGAGTTAGCCTCATATTTGGTGTTGCAACTAATCCCAGAATATAATTTATTCACTCTATTAATACGTTTTCGAAACGTGCACGTGATCTACTTTCAAACGACAAATTATTATATTCGTAGTATGAACGACAACTATGCATTTTCCGAACGAGGCGATGGGACGTAGAACGAATCAATTTCTATATTAATAGAGGCGGCATGATGCTGCGAAAAATATATTCGCAATTTGGCATAGACTACCTTGAACCGGTGCATTCCAGCAGTAATAAAAGTGCATAAATGTTTGTCGACAAAAAAGCTGATTCACCGCGTTTGAAGTTCGATCAAAAATAGCTATTTTGTCTGTTATCATCAATGTAGGAAGCATTATGCGGATTTTATTTTCGGATCCACTCTATTATTTATATTTCAATTTTTAAGTATTCGCCAGGAGCGAAGTACATGGTAGGGGGGACTGAATCGATCGCCGCGCACGCGTTGGAAAAAAGGGAAACATCATCGGACTGATAGTGAAATATAGGCGTGGTCTCAACATGGTGAAAACTGTGTATTGTGGAGTCAACTGAGGCCTGGCAAAGCTGCAAATATTTCGCTATCAAGATCAAAAGAAAATATTCAGTTTGAAATGCAAATTGTACCTAATCTAAAATCGACTAAATATCTTTTATTTTCATTAATATCGATAACAACAACAAATATTTCAGTCCGACATCTGCTAGGTGCCTCCATCATTACGCACCCAACAAATGCCGCTTTTTCGCTTATCTGACCCGAAGCACGAAACAAGTGCGCAAGTATTATTTGAAAATCTGATGATCGCGATCTACCGATGATTGGCCAAGCTTATTTTTATCCTCATCCCATACGATAAAGACGACAGAGAAACCCTTACATCCTCTGGCTCATAACCGCTCGACGTTCTGCGCCATGCGCAGAAATGGCGCACCGCACCACTATCACGATCGACTATCAAGTGGCCGGAATACCAAGTATTCACAGAGCAATCCGGGGATGGCCTTATTTGCCATCGTCCTTCTTCAAGACCGATACCCCACCGATGAGTTGCTAATGAGCACGAAACCATTCCCTACATGCGGTATGTTCAAAATTGTGATAATGTTGTTCTTTTGCAAATTGAAATGGTGTGCAGTTATTACAATAAATCAATATTAATTAACAATCTATAATTTATTATATAGTTATATAGTACCTATAATTAATGATGCATTATACTTATGATTTGGCTATAAAAATCATTTTATGACACCATGTTGCAGACGATTTGAGCCATTTCGTTCAAAAATTGTGTATAATGTGTTTTTTACGAGTCTCTTTTAACTATAGGCGTCTTATTTTCTCGGTTGTTAATTGCCCAATAACTGCGCCCTACTGACGAGATGATAAATTTCGCAGATATTGCAGCATTTGATAACAGTTCCATAGTCAAAATTATGTTAGATTTTTAATATCTTATGCTAATCACATAATTACCAAATCCACGTATGCATTATGATTAGAGTTTGAAAAATGTAATACACATGCGTTCATGTCGTCGAACTGATAACTCTGGCCGCAGGAATTCAACAAGTCATTCACTAAATGAGTAATTATTTGTTATGTTCGATGTAAAGCCCCGTTCATACCCGCTACTTGAATTTCCATTCAACAACATGATTCAAAGTGTTGAAAACATCTACCAAATTGCAACATATTGCATGGTTTAAAGACTTGTCTTGACTTGTAGAAAACACATTAGTGTTACATGTTTTAAATACATTGACGTTGAAGTTTGTATTTGAAGTGTATGAGATACCTCAAAAATTGAATAAAAAAGATATGTAATAACTGCTGCCACTCATTTTCATCAATATATCGTTCAGAGAAAAAAGATGTCGTACTTTGGACATATACACATAGGTGAAAAATAGGAAATCTTGCAATTGATAATTCAAGGCAAGATAAGTGGTCTAACGCGGTCCAAGAAGACGCGTACCTCGTGGCTTAAAAATCTACAGCAGTGGACGGTATCACTTCCGTTGAAGTATTTATATTAGCGTTTGATAAAGTGATGTAATCCAGGATGATATCAACATCCATTCAGAGTATGACACCAGAAAAAAATGAAAAATTCCAGCAGCCGCTAAACTTTAATGTTTATGGAATTATGACTTGGAGTGCCTAGTCAGTGATTCCATTTACACTGTATGATGCTTGAGTTGTGTCATATTGTTGGTAACATACTATATGTATTTTTTATCTAAGCTTGTATAATTGTAACTATTTTTCTCCTTTACTATCCACTGCCGTAGATTTTTGAGCCATGAGGTGCATCTTCTCCCTGGCTACCGCAATACGCTCGATAGTCTACCGTTTTTGATTGCACCAATTTCGATCTTATATGCCCCCTCCCTAAACGTGCAGTCCTACCATTATTTCAATGCAAAGGATAATGTTGCTATATTTTGGGAAGCGGAAGTACCCGCCTTTTGATCTGGCAGTATCTTTCAGGACGCCGTTTGCCTGCAATCTTGCCTTGCATTATCAATTGCAGAATCCCGTATTTTTCGCCTCTCAAAATATGTCCAAAGTTAGACATCTTTCTTTTTTTAATCGTACCAATCACTGCCTTATGTATCATAACTATTATTGATTTTTGAGCTTGTTACCTATTGTGAACGAGCCTTAA